AAAAGCCGCCAGATCTATCGCGATTTTAAGTAAATCATACACCTATTGTGTCTAAAAGTTTCCCGAACTTAATTATCAGAAACTTAACATAAACAGATAAAACTTAAATAATCTCCTGATCCATCAGCAACCCAAATCTCATCCAGACATCTTAATGTCTAGTGGGTAACTTAGCCGGAACTTGATCGAGATGATTTCGAGCAAATGGACCTGAGCACGATGGAGATCAAAAAGCCATAAAATCCGGACAAGCTGACTCATTCGCTGCACAACTGGATTTCGAGCCAGTTGAGCAAGGCCATAGGCCAAACAATTGTAAACGCACAAATAAGGCAAACAAATATAGAGAATATATGTGCATTAGTAAATGTTTACGGGTGCCTGTACCTACAAGGTTCAACACCGAGAATATCAAGCCCGACTGAAGGTAAATAACGAAGATTTTTGCATATACGTATATAATTGCCTTAGCCTCAAATGTTTGATGTGCAAACTGCATGCAGCAACTTGTATGGTCACAGCAGCTTAATGAGCTCAACTCGATTGGTCCTAATCGCCCCGCCCAATCCTTATTCCTCTAATTTCCAATATAACAAATTATTATGTGTCCACTCACATTATGTCCTTGCACTTCTTCGTTCATTTATTTTCATTATTTCTCAATCCACACCCTTCTCGCCTGAGTGACTTTAGGCTGATCATGCAAAACTATGTAACTTTCCTTGTCTCTCCGTGGCCCACATGCGGTTATTAGGATCTTCCTCTTAATTCATGAAGCATTCGCAAGAAATATTCGCACGCATGCACACCTACATTCAGCTCTCTATGTGAATGTCTGGACTGGCCAGTGATCATATATCATTAATCGAAACCCTTGAGAGTCTCATCCGCATGAACAGCGCCCCATGTCGATGCACAAGCTATACTAATCAAAGAAATATTTCGTTTATAAGTGTATAAAATAAATATTCATTCAGGTAGCCCAGATTATATGCATCATAGGGAGTCGTTCAAGAAGATGAAGCCTCCAAAGGCTTCAAATGTATTATTGATCAATGACTAGTCTAGTGTAAATGAATCAAGAATTAAAATGAATGAAGATCCAAAGAACCAAAAATATGCAAATAAAAAGGCAGCAGAATAGTTACTTAACTGTTCATAATCAGCCTAAAGTCCCCAGGACAAGGATGTAGATTGCAAAACAATGAAAAAATGTAACGAGATAGAACAAGTGCAAGAACGGCAGGAAATCTAAGAGGAAGAAAATGGCGGGAAATTGTAATTTTGTCTTGAAAACTGGATAAGGGGCGAGTGGAGAGATTAGAGCCAATGAAGTCAAGCTCACGAGGCTGTTGTGGGAAAACAAATAGCTGCTTGCAGCCTAAATATCAACCAATCAAGACAAAAGCAATATATGAATTCATCTGTGGGAGGCAAGGGGTGGGCGTGAAAGGTTTTTGTGTGATTTAGAAACATTAACTCTGATCAGAATCTAAGGGTCATTGACACCATCACTGGCGGGCAGGTTAGACTTTTCAGTGCGTGTTGAGGTAGATCCTGTCAGAGCTATAGAGTTTCCAAGGGAGCGCGAATTGAAATGTGCAGCCGACGTGCTAGGTCCTGCACTAGGAAAATGATTTTCCTCCTCAATTACAGACGTCGATGCTGAAGACGCAGGATTTGACAATCTCCGTATCCGACTCGAGGAAGAGTCGGCGACAGAAGGGACATTAGCAGCAATTGAGCTGGGGAGACAGGTAAGTCGGCGGCGTTTATGAGGAACCCTGCTGCCTCCAACACATACAGGCCCGGGAGCATTAGAAATTTGCAATGAATGTCGCTTCCTGGAAGAAAAAGTGTTTGAGAGGGAACAGGCCTCTGAACTAAGTTGATGGTCGGGATCGAAATCAGAAGAAATATGTGCGGAAACAGGAACAGAGTGTGGACAAGAGGCGAAGTTCGATTGGCAAACAGATGACTCTAAATCAAAGTGAGTAGAATCCAGGGCTGCCACAGGGGCCGTTTCGATGCCAGCTAATAGAGGTTTTCCCAGAGTGAGTTGCTGTTTGCTCTGTCGGCGCGTGCGCTTAGGAGGGGAGCTTGAAGATGAATCAGGTTCGAAAGGAGCCAACGACAAAGAGGACAATGGCCTAGGGTCAGATATATCAGGGTTATCCGCAACTTGATCGTTGCGAATGAGACTAGGGCCAAGCCCGTCCGTCATACTTTGAAATGTTGGGCTAATATTACTGTCTTTATCCGGAACAGCGACCATTGAAATAGCATCTGGATGATTGGATTGACAGTATTGGCGTTTGCGTGAATGATCAACTTCTTCCGATGAAACAACTGAGCTGAAGCTGGAGATAGGATTATTCGTCAAAACGGAACGGGTTTGTAACGAGGGGGAGGTTGCAGCAGAACTGGCTAAGAAGCTGTCACTAACAGCAGGTGATGGTGGCATTTGTGTCGGTTGTGACGAATGGGAAGGACAACAGGTGGTTGTGATCGGCCACGATACAGTCTGAGCCGAAGCTGAAAGAAGTGGCTGGTGGAGGAGTGGTGGTGGCATTAAAGCAGGATGATGAACCGGAAAGGGACGGGGAGTAGGTCGCGGAGGTAAAGCAGCGTACCAAGCCTCATTGGCTGCGTCACCCCAAGCATTTAAATCGAGGCCCGGGTGCACCTCAGCCAAATAGGCATCTGTATATGGCCAGACAAGATAGCTAGTAGGTGATTCTACAGGAGGCCAATCAAGCAGACTGTAAAGAGAAGAGGCTGGAGATGAAAGGGAAGCGGAAGAAGTAAGAGAGGGATTAGATGCAGGGTAGTATGAAGTTCCATTTATTCCAACACTATAACCAGCTTTCGGATCAGATAAACGCCCAATCTGCTTCCCTTTGACGCCGTAACTGGACGTCATGTCACAAAAAGGCTTTGCCGATAGTTGGCTTTCATCTGGTTGGCTCATATAAGTCGCATCGACAGAAGCGATGGTCGATACCGAGGATGGATTCACTTTACATTCGGAATGCTCTAAGGACACATGCGGAGTTGAGACCGTGGCTGAAGTAGAGTGTGAAAGCGAGGGAGAGGGACCGTGTACGTCGCGGAATTGAACATGTAAGTGGATGCCGCGACGTTGGAGCTTTAACCAAGCGGCAGGAGGACCTATGTACGCCTCATTAAGAAGGTCATGCAGGCTGTCTGGATTTGCACTATGCCCAGGCAACAGGTGAGGAGCCCGAGGTAGATATATTGAGGGCTCGGGTTGGTTAGTGGAGGCTTGTGTCAAGGGAATTATGCTGGACTGCCGAGTGACAGGGCCGGAGTTAGCAGTTATGGAGGACTGACGGTTGATTCCGTCCTTCTGGCAAAACTCAGTCCTCCATGAAGGGGTCGTTGATGATTGCACCGGCGTTGAAGCAGGCACTGGCTGCTGCTGTTTGTTGGGGCAACCGGACGGTGGCTGAGTAGTGGTGGTATGGGTACCAAGTGTATTAGATGGCAGCAGTGAGCAACAGACCTCGTGGACCCAAGGTACATCGGTCAAGAGATCCCATCCAGGACCTGAAATAGCATGAAGATAAGAAATGTATGGTTCAAGATATTCATCAAAATATAGTACCTCAAAGAGTA